CCCGGGTGCGGCCTGGACCTTCCTCTTGCCCCAGGCCAGGTGCGGGGTCTGCAGGCCAGGCAGGGCCCCTCCGTGTACCCGGCCCACCTGCGACATGCCCTCCATGTCCAGCTGCATGAGCTCTGCCTGGTTCACCTGCAGCAGGGCAAGGCCCACCCGGAACACGATCTCCAGGCCCTGCAAAGGCGGCGGGTGATGAGCCTCAGCCGGGTCTGTCTGGGACTCGGGGGGCGGGGGGCGCTCACCCGCCACAGCAGGCGGGTGGGTGCCCCTTGAGACCCTCACCTCGTACATGAAGATGTCGAAGACTCGGGTGGCCACAGGCAGGGGGAAGGTGGTGAGGAAGAGCGTGAGGAACCAGGATGAGGCGTACATGGACGTGTGGAAGCTCTGCGAGCGGAAGTGGGTGTTCAGGTCCGGAAGCTGCTCCTGCAGGGTGTGGGGAGGCCGGCAGGGCATGGGGAAGTGGCGCTGGGCAGGGCTGGTTCCCTCCCACCCAGGATACTGGGCCTCCACGCCTCCATCCCCAGGGAGCCTTCCTTGAACTGCCCAAGTCTGCCCACAGGTCCCTTCCTTGCAGCATGAGGAACATGAAGTGGCAATAAAGGGAGTGATGGCTGGAGCCTTGGCAGCTACAGTGTGTCATGTGTTCACACTGGGTGGGGACTGGCCCAACGGTTCTACTGGTAGCAGCTGGTGGGGTCTTCTTGACTGCCCCAGAGGGGGCTTCTGGGGCTCAACTGGGTTTATCACTTCCCAAGGCTACCCAGAGAATGAGACGTGGGGTTGACAGTCCCTGGTCAGAGCTATCACAGTTCATCCTGGGTGTGTGACTTGCTGGTTGTGTGCCCACCACAGCCCCCAGCATGGAGGTGATCAGAGGATGTCCATTTAATTGGCCCCAACTCAGGCTGCTGGGAAGTGAGAGACCACTGGGGAAACTGAGGCCGGAGAAGCCATGAGGACCCTGGGTTTCCTCCCAGAGCCAGGGCCTCTCTGCGCCTGGATATACAGGTCTGCATGGCTGTGGGGTCGCTGCGCCTGGGGGAGGGACGCCCCCTTCTCTGCAGGCCTGGGCCCCTGCTTGTGGCATGACCAGCGCCCCGCAGCTAGAATACCGTTTGTCCTCGGGAAGCGGGGTGCTCCCCAGTCACACAGCCCCCTGCCGTGGGTTTCTAGCACAGGCCAGTGTGTGTAGGGGGTGCGTCACCGTCTGCCAGCCCGGAGTGGGCCCTGCGGGGGCCTGCTATTTATAAACAGCCGTCTGCGAGCTCCGTAATCAGCAGCGGCAGCCAGACAACACGCACCCCCCCTCCACAGCAGCGCCCAGGGAGGCCGTGGGCGTGTCTGCCAGCAGCCCTTACACCGGCCTCAGCCTTGGTTTAGGTTCTGGAAGCCCCAGGGTGAGTGCAAGCCCCGCCTGGGCCTTCCCAGCATCCTCTAGGGCAGTGCCCACCGGTCTCGCGGACACAGACACCCCCTGTGGGCTGGGGTTTCCGGTCATGATCGCTCAGGCTTGGTGTTTTCAGGCCAGGGGACTCCTGGGGACAGGGCCTCCCGGCTGCCCAGGCTGCTCACCTGGAGCATGTACTCGAACTGGTAGATGCAGAGCCCCAGCTCAGCCATGCTGGGCTTGAAGAGCTCCCGCAGCCGGTACTCCTGCATCAGCCGCACGAACACGCAGAACGCCTCCTCCTCGGGCATCTGGGGGGACAGGCGTGGCTGAGTGTGGGCACAGGCCTGGCACTCTTGCAAGGGCCCCATGCACGCAGGCCCTGAGTTGCCCCGAGGACGTTTACAGGTGCTGTCTGTGATCGGAAACATGGGCGCTCGGGCAACCCAGTGATGCATGTGGCTACCATTGCTCCGATGGCAAAGCTCGGGCTGGCGTCACCAGGACTGCCACCCACAGGGGACACTGGGGCTGGGACGTGAGCCTCGGTCTGGCCGCTGCAGAGCCCACAGTCTCATCCCGCCAGCTGAGACGCCCTCCTGTCCCCTGCTGCTGCCCCTGCTGCTCTTCTCCTTCCCCCTGTTCTCAGCCTCTGGCACCTCTGGAGCAGCCCCCGGGGTCCCCTGAGCACTGCACTGGCTGGCCTAAGTCCCTCCCTGTCCAAGCCTGGGCGCTGGCACTCAAGTCTGTGTCCGTCCTGGCCCGAACAGTGTGAGGACCCAGCCAGGCCAGGTCCCAGCCCCGTGTCCACCCTTGGGGCACTTGGCCTGGCTGTCAGAGGGCACAAGTGGCTGGAGACGAAGACTCTGACCCTGGGAGGGCACTGGGTGGGGATCCCTGCTTGTGTCCACCTCCCAGGGTGGAGCCTGGGGTGCCCCTGGTGCTCCCGCTGCCGCCTACCTGCATGAGGAGCAGGCCCACGATGAAGGCGCTGCCCTGGCAGTAGCCCACCTCCCGGTCCACCAGGGAGTACGCCTGGGAGGAAGGAGATGCCATGAGAACAGGGCCACCCGGGGACTGACCCGGGGCCGGGGCTGTGGGGCCTGACCTTCATGACGTTGAAGAGGACCTCCTGGCCCAGGCTGTCCTGGCCCTTGAAGAACTCGTGCTCCGGGTAGGTGCGGGCGATGTCCCGGCGGATGAGCTTCTCGCACGGCGAGGACATCTTGAGCAGCTCCGAGTACTGGTTCTTGACTGGCATGTCCGTGGCGCTGCACAGGAGCTGCCACACGATGGCCCGGAAGTGGTGCGGGATGCCCTTGCGGATCAGCTCCTGCCGGGGAGGGGCGGGGCTGGAGGCGGGGCTGGGCTCCACCCGGCCCCGCGCAGCCCCGGGGCGCCTTGCCCGCCCTGGCCCGCGGCACCGAGGGGATCCCGGCCTCTGCTGCGGCCAGCGTCCACGGCATGCGGTGGGCAGCCCCCACCTCCGTGGGCAGCAAGGGCAGAAAGCACGAGGCCCTGCGGCACCACGGCCTCTCCAGCTCTACCCCGTGCCCGCTCCGGTCCCCGTGCCCTGTCCGCACAGCTCTGCTTCTGCCATTTGCCCCGGCTGGGGCCCCAGGCGCTGCCCTGGCCGGGTGACCGCGCTGGCCACCCTCCCGCCACCCCCGCCACCTTGAGCAGCTTCTCCTTCCGCCGCCGCCACTCCTCCCACTCGTTGGCGATGCGTCCCCACAGGATCCAGGTGTCCTCTTCCAGGTGGCTCAGGTTGGAGGAGGCCGAGGAGCTGGACACCAGCGAGGAGCCGCTGTTCCGCCGCGAGCCGTTCATGGAGCGCATGGACTTGGAGTCGGCTTCCAGGAGCCTGAAGGAGGGGCGGGGCGGGCCGTGGTGAGGGCCGCCTGGGCACCAGGGCTCCCAGCGGACTGAGGCCAGTCCAGGTCATCTTTGCTGAGTGACTCTGGCCAGTGACCTAAGCCTGAGGCTGCTCCTCATCCCCTGGGCCTGAGGACTCCACCTGCGTTCCATGCCAAGCACCAGCCTCAGTGCCTGCGTATCTACTTCATCTAACTCCCCACCCAAGGCTGGGGGGCGGGTTTGGGGAGGACCCCCACTTCACAGGTGGGCTCAGAGGGGGAGACCTGGCGACCAAGAGTCAGTCACCCTGTCCTCACTACCGAGGGGCTATATTAACTTGGTGTTTCTTTTTTTCTTTCTAATGCTGGGAATGGAATCCAGGACTGTCACTCTGGGCTACAGCCCAGTCGTTTTTTAAATTTTGAGACAAGGTCTTGCTAAGTCACTAAATTGCCCAGGCTGGGCCTGAACTTGCAGTCCTCCTGCCTCAGCCTCCTGGCATGCTAGGATGACAGGAGCATGGCACCGCGCCTGGCAACTCTGTGCTTCTGACGCTTCGACAGCTGGGCCTTGGGGACCTTGGAGGAGCGGCCCTCCTGATGCCAGCTAGTTCCTGGGGAAAGAAAAGGACCAGCTCCCTGCAAGGTCACCTGTTATGTGCAAACCAACCAATCCTGAGCCCACGCCGTTTTCCCCTCCTCTGCCAGGCTTTCCCACCCTGTTCACGGTCCACCCGCCCAGCTCGCCCGTGCAGCAGGGAGCTGGCACTGGGGATGTGGCCGGGCTGCTGCAATGACTCGGCAGCGCGTCGTAAGACTTGCTCCCTCCCCTGGACACCACCACTACGGCCTCAAGACTGGTCCAGGCACTTCCCGGAGTGGCCGCGCAGTGCATGGGGTGGGCTGCATCCGGGCTGGGCTGGGGATGGCTGGGGGGGCCAGTGCTGGCCTCGCCTGCAGGAGGCTCTGGGTTCAGCCCCAGCACCGCGAACAAAATAAAACAGAACAACCCACAAAAACACAAAGCCTTTGCCCTTTAAGACAGGGGCAGGCCAGAGACGTAGGTGGCAAGAGCGTGGGGTACAAAAATGGCTTGGAAAATGGCAGCCAGGTTCACTTGACCTCTTTTTTTTTTTAGTTTTTGAGACAGGCTCTTGCTATGTGGTTCAGGCTGGCCTTAAATTCACGGCAGCCCCCCTGCCTCAGCCTCCAAAGTGCTAGGATTGCAGGCGTCTGCCACCACGCCTGGCTCACTTGACTTCTTGAAAGCTCAGCTGTCTCTTCCCGTTTGTGCAGTGGGCTGTGAGGATGAAGGGGGACGCCCTTTCCAAGTGTCCCCAGATAGCTGTTACCTCAGTCAGTGTGGGCCCAGCTTGGGGCGTGAAGGGACCCTGGGAACTTCCACCGGGACCGGGCTGCGCCTACACATCCCTGCCCCATCCCCCCAGGGCTCACTCACCGGTTCTGTTCCTCGAGCTTGGCCAGTAGCTCCAGCTCATCGGGGCTGAGGTTCTCAGAGTCGGAGGTGGGGGAGCAGGTGGGGGCCGACAGGGCCTCCTGAGACGAGGAGTCGGGGCTCAGAGTGGGGCTCGCCATGGCGGGCAGGCTCAGCAGCTGCGAGCGGGGCCAGGTTACAACTCTGTCTGGGGACCAGAGATGCGTGTGGTCAGTGCTGGGTAGGTGCCCACCCTGCATGCTGGCTCTGGGCGCACTGAGTCCACTTGTCCCCCCTCACTGCAGGCTTTCCAACCCTGGGCTGCCCCTGGGGAACCCCTGGTTCCCATGTGCCCTGACCCAGTGGCCAGCCAGGTTAGCTTCTTCTACCCAGACCCCTGCATGGGGATCTCTGCCAGGTTCCTGCGTAGAGACAGGAGGCTGGAAGCCAGCATCAGAGCCGTCCTGCCAACCCTGGGCACGAAGGCCAAGGCTTGGCTCCACAGGCCAAGTCTGCAGCAGGGCCTGGGCCCGAGGCTTCCTGTCATCCCAGGTCCCAAGCCCCCTGCAGGACCTCAGAGGTGCAGAGGCCCTTCTGACAGCTTGGTCCCTGCTCCCCAGCCGAGGCTGGTCCAGGGAGGCTGGCATGAGCCTCTGACCTTCCCCATCTCATCAACCTGAGTGGGCTGTTGGCACGGCCAGGGCAATTATTCTCCACTGTTAATTGTCTGGTGATGCCCATGGCCGGAAGAGTCGACTCCCCTTGGGCTGGGAAGCCAGGGACACGTCAAAGTGCTGGGAATCCATGCCCTGCTGGACACGCAGCCAGACCTGCGGGCCCTGCCGGGAGTCTTGACCTCTGCCAGCCATGTGCTGGGCGCTCCTCTTATTCTTCCTGGCGTGGTCAGCCCTAACTTTCTGGGGCTTCAGGGATATGGGCTTCTTGCCCTCTGCCAGCCTGGCAGGAGGCTGATCAGCACTGTGCTGAAACAAAGGCTCTGGGTTCGAATGGACCCATGTCTGAAGTCTGGCGTCGCTTGATCCGCTGTGTGACCACGGGCAAGCACTTGGCTTCTCTGGTCTCTAGAGACTGAGACCCTACTCGACTGGCCTCAGAGGCACCTGCAAGGCCTGAGCGTGCTGCAGAATGTAAGGTGTCACAGCGGTGCCTGGCACTCAGTGTTCACCCAGAAACACCGCCTGTTACTCTCCGCCCGGGGCGGAGCTGCTGGGATACTGGGGAGCCTCCTCCTGGGAAGGGGTTCCTGGCACTGGAAACTGCTTTGAGGGGGAGGCAGGGGCTGGCAATGGTGTCCCTTTCTTCCCAGTGAGCCCAGGCTGGCACCCGGGCTCTGAGCAGATGCGGGTACCTGGGGTCACAGAGGCAGAAGAAATCTGCTCCGCCTGGCTCCGTGGCACAGCCCTCTGCCCCCCTCTCCCTGGAGTGCTTGGCCCCCGAGTCTGCTCCATGCCCTTGTACCCCACCTGCTCGGACTCTAGCAGCTCAGCCTCCAGAGGGGCCTGGCCGGGTCCCCGGCTCTCCAGCATTTCGGGGTCACTGGGCACCTCCCTCCCCAGCCCAAGCTGCAAGGGCCAGCTGGACTGCACCCCGGCCTGCACTTGAATCCAGCCCTCGCCCCCACTCCCTACTGTGGGGTGGGGCCCGGAAGCCCCCTCTCCAGGAAGGTGGATCCATCGGCTGTGGTCCTATCTCCGGCCCTGGTTTGTTAGGTCCTCCCATGGCCCGGCTGGCTGGGGACCCCCTGCCCCAGAGACCAGGCGGCCAGTGTGGGAGTTAATCATTCCTGAGAGGGGCCACTGGGGCCACGGGGACACTCGGGCCTCCTGCAGAGCCAGAGCCTGCAGCCAGCCAAGCTGGACAAGAAGTGCTGAGCAGGAAGATCTCTCTGGACAGGGCGCGGCTGGGGCGGCAGCTTCAGAGCTGGGAGGGTGGGAGGAGGCGGGAGGTGAGGGTCAGGGCCTCAGAAACCCCCGCTGGGTCTGGCGGCAGCGAGGGTCAGGGCGTGGGCAGAGGGGGACCCAGTGTGGTGGCGTCAGCTTCACCCTTACCTCCTCAAGGAGCAGACAGAACAGTGTAGCTCAGGGCTCCTGACAAAAACCCCAAAGCCCAGGGCTGCCCCTTGGCAGTTTGATCAGCCACTTATCACATATTCATGTGTATTTCACACAGGAAGTAAAATGCATTAAATACACAGGGCTGAAATTTACAGTCTGAGAGGCAGGAACCTTCTGATCCCTCTGGAATGTTCTCTTGACTCATCCTCCAAAACTGCCCAAGCCTGGAAGCATCCTAGGGAGTGCGTGTGCACACACACACACACACACACGCACACGCACATGCTCACACAGTGGACAGAGACACACTGGACACCCCATTTACCACATACACATTCTCTTTCATGCCCTCACACCACACACTCACACCTGCACACACAGTCATGCACGCAGTCTCACAAACACACACATGCACGCACACTTGGATAGTGCCTTCTTTGGGACACTGACACACACAAAATGCACATGTACACTCGGACAATCACACGGGGGCACACATTCACTCACTTGCACACATCTACCACACACAGGCTCACTAACACACACATTCTTACATGTCATATGCTCATTCACCCTTCCACATGTGTGCACACACTCAGGCGCACACTCATTCACATCTACACTGATGCACGCTACCATACACTCACAGTGCAAACCCACCCCCACTTTAACTCACATTCGCACTCACGGGCGCGCACGCGCGCGCACACACACACACACACACACGGGGCTGGCTGGCTTCCCTTTGCACAGCGCCCTGCCTCTCACAGGCTCAGGCAGTGGTGGTCAGCACGGACCAAGGGCTGCCTGTGTGGCTGGGCAGAGTCCCAGGCAGTGGACCGGGAGCGAGGCCATCCCTGTGGGACACGCCGCCATCCTCCCTTGCTGCCTGGGAACGGAGGAACCCAAGAGTCCCCACACCCAGCTCCAGTGCTTTGGCTCTGCCCCACCTCGGCTGCCCATGGAGCTCCTGACAGTGGGTCACTGCTGTCCTGCTGGCGCCCCACTGCCTCGCCACCCCAGCATGGGCCCGGTGTCTGAAGCGATCGGGGCGGGGGTGGGAGCACAGGCTGTGGGAAGCCAGGGGCTGGAATGGCTCGGGTGCCAGGTGTCCTCCTCCCCCATGTGTCCCCTGTCCCTCTTGGGGTGACAGGACACCACCAGGCACACTTCCTCTGTCCCGAAGTCCACTCCCTCCGGCAAACGCCATAGGCTCCTGCTGCTCTTCCCACCTCTCTGGCCCACATGGAGCCTCTTCCTCCTATGTCCTCCCCGTAGCTGGGGCCCTTCAGGCCCTGGGGACCTCACTCTGGGGGCCTAAATGCCTGAGGAGACCCTGGCGATTCTGCAGCCCTCACTGGCAGGAAGCCTGGGCCAGGATTGCCAAGGGCCTATAACGGCCCCCAAAGCCCCGCCCCTTCCAGATGTTTCTGTTCCCCGACCAAGGCGGGAATAAAGGATAGGGTAGCATGAGAAACAGCCCAGCAGTTTCTCAAAACCTTAAACACAGAGTCAACATCCAATCCAGCACTTCCCTCCTACATATCCACCCAGACAGATGAAATATCCTCCATCCAGACACTTGTACACAAATTTCATGCCAGCACTGTCCACAATAGCTCTGGAGTGCAAACAGTGCAAGGTCCAGCAACGAATGAATGTATCACAAGAAGTGGCCCATCCCACCATGGAATATTACTCAGCCACGAAAAGGAACTAAGTACTGACACATGCTACAATGTGGACAAACCTTAGAGCCATTGTGCCGAGTTGGTGGGGAGCCAGATCTAAAAGGTCTCAAATTGTATGTTTCCACTTATGTATAAAATATCCAGAAGAGGCAAATCCATAGGGACAGAAAGTTGGTTAGTGCTTGCTGGAGCTGGCGGAGGAAGGGAACGCAGTGGCTGTTTAACTGGCACAGGGCTTCCCTTTGGGATGAAGGAGCTGTTCCGGAAATGGATAAATGGTCCCGGTTGCACAACACAGCACGCGTGCTGAACTTCGAGGAATTGTACACTGGGGGGGGGGGCCTGTGGATTACATGGATTATGCAAATCAAGTGGGCTGGCAGAGAGCCTGTGGGTGCAAGCAGGGGTGGGCGGGACTTCAGAAGAGGTGGGAAAATTTTGCAGACTCCAGAACCCACCTTGTGGGCTGGTGCAGGAGCCTACCGGCTTTGAATTTTAGAAAGGAAAGGTGGGCTCTTACTTCTGGCCTGTCTGTCTGGGCCAGGGTGTTGCCTGCTCCAGCCCTCGAGCTGGACCTGCCCACTCTTCAGGCCAGGCCTGGGTGCCCCCTCCTTCTGTGTGACCCTGGTCACTCGCTCCCTGCTGGGGGAGCCACCGCCACCTCCACCTCCTGCCTGGGCTCAGGAACGCACCTCCTCCGGCTCCATCCACAGGGGCCGCCAGAGCCTCGGAGAGAAAACAGCAGTAGCAGTGCCACCGCTGTCTCCAGTCTCCTGGAAGGCTGTCTCCTCCTGCATCAACCCCATTCCGCTCCGCCCTCTGCCTCCTGCCCTTGCACTCCCCTGGACCTGGTCTGAGCATTCCTTTTATCAATTTACTTCGAGACAGGGTCTTGATGAGTCACTACAGTGTCCAAGCTGGGCTCTTCCTGCCTCGGCCTCCCAGAGTCTGAGACTGTAGGTGTGCACCCCGACACTCTGCAAGTCTAACTATGAAATCGTCCCTCCCTGCTGGCTCAGGAATGCCCTGAGGGCAAAGGCCTATTTTAATTTTCTGTTCCAAGCCCTGTGCCCACTATTTAGCATGCAGTAGGTGCTCAGTAAACATCTGTGGAATGAATGAAGACAGGACCTTCCGTGCCCCCCAGCCAGCTGCTCAAGGTCAGGGTTAGCAGGGCCGGCAGAGAACGCCCCATGCTCTGGCGGGCAGGATGAGGATGCTGTGCTCACTTCTTGTCTGTGATCTCCTCCAAGCTGTGAACCCACGCTGACACTGAACACACACCAGACAGACTCACACCAGGGACACTACAAAACACCGACCAGCCCTCCTCCCAACAGGCAGGGTGGCCGAGAGCAGGGAAAGTCCCAGACAAGGCTCAGGAGATGTGATGACTGCATGCCATGCGGGGTCCTGGCTGTGAAGGGACAGAAAAGGATATT